AATGCATCCAAGAAGGGGTCCAGGGACCGATGTGCAATACTGAGCTGTCGTCTTTGTCCTCGCACTCCTGATCCTCATCCCTCTGCCCCCAGGGGGGGCGGGATGGGGGAGAGAGGTAGCGAGGGATGCATGAAAGCAGGTAGCGATGGGCAGGGGAAGGGGGAGAAGAAGGAGAAGGGGGGGAGAGGAGGAGAGAAATGGAGATGAGGGCGAGGGACGGTGGGGGAGGAAGAGGCAGACGGGAGGAAGCACAAAAGGGACGGGGCAGGGAGAGATTCTCCTCAGGAGGATTAGACGCAGAAATGGATGAAGGAAGGCAGCTATATTCCTCTCCGCACCCTTCGGCATGAAGCAAAACGCGTCCTGGATGGACCCCAGGCGGCCCCCCATGACCGGCTTTTCACCCTGAGTTCCTTCCTGTCGGTCCCAAGCGCTTCGGAAGATTTCCGAAGGGCCCCGCGAGGACGAGAGGCCGACCGCGCGGGAAAAACTCGAGACCCCTTTGCCTCATGACCCCTCTCTTCGCATCGTGACTCCTGCTGCTGCCCCTGCCGTCAGGGCCGCGTGACCAGGGAACTCGACCAACCAGGGCACTGGCGCATCCAAGGAAACTGCAGCAGAGGAGCCGAAGCATCCCCCACTCTTCATATCCTCCAGTTGGAATCTGCAACGCAAGCCTGGCTTGAGGTGTCCTGGCTCCTGGGGCCCCCATGCCGCTCCGACTCCCAGAGGCCGGCGGTCCAGCCAGTTCACCGCCATGCCCGGGAACGGCATCGATTCTGCCATGGCGGGCGGCTCCTGGCGCGCTCCGCAGGGGGTCCGCCTGGGACTGCGGCTAAGCTGAAGGAGGCAAAAGACTTGCCATCGCTCGGACGTCCGTTCCTCGTGCATGCTCCGGTTTCGTGCGTGATCTTTTTTTTTTCGCCGGATGATCCAGGATACTCCCCGATGGCCCCCGCCGAGGAAACATGCACACGGCCGAACGATGCAAGAAGAAAGGGACGACGCCGAAGAGGACGACGAAGAGGACGAGGTGGAGAAAGAGGTGACATGAAGCGGGTAGGCCCAGCCCGCTGAAGCTGCCGCGGGGCCCGAGCCGTCCCTGCGAAAAACTCCCTCCTGTCGAGTTCCAACAAGGAGACGACACGTCCAGAGCCCGCGTCTTCAAAACACGTGGGACCGATGGGTCTTCAAGAAACGTGGGATCGATGGGTCTCCGCCTCCTCCTCCACCTTCTCCTCCTACTACTCCTCCTCCTCTACTACTACTACTACTACTACTACTACTACAACTACTACTACTACTACTACTACTACTACTACTACTACTACTACTACTACTACTACTACTACTACTACTACTACTACTACTACTACTACTACTACTACTACTACTACTACTACTACTACTACTACTACTACTACTACTACTACTACTACTACTACTACTACTACTACTACTACTACTACTACTAGCTACTACTACTACTACTACTACTACTACTACTACTACTACTACTACTACTACTACGACTACTACGACTACTACGACTGCTACCACTATTTCAGCTACTACTACGACTACACTACTACTACTTCTACGACTACGACTACTTCTTCTTCTACTACGACTACTACTACTGCTACTGCTACTGCTACTGCTACGACTACTACTACACTACTACTACGACTACTACTACTACTACGCTATTACTACTACTACGTTTACGGCTACTACGGCTACTACTACTTCTTCTTCTCCTACCACTACTCGAAACTACTACTACTACTCTAACACTACTACTACAACTACTACTACTACTACTCACTACTACTACTACTAACTACTACAACCTGCTACTACTACTACTCTTACTGCCTGCTACTACACTACTACTACGACTACTACGCACTACCACTGCTACTACTACTACTACCACTACTACTACTACTACTACTACCTACTACTACTACTATACTACTACTACTACTACTACTACTACTACTACTACCACTACTACTACAACGACTACTACTACTACTACTACTACTACTGCTACTACTACGACTACGACTACTACGAGCACTATTACTACTGCTTCTGCTGCTATCACCATCACGAATACTACTACGAGTACAACTGCGACTATGACCACTACAACTACAACTACAACTACTACTGCCCCTTCTACTACTACTACTACTACTACTATTACTGCTACTACTACTACTACTACTACTACTACTGTTACTAGTACTACTACTACTACTACTACTGCTACTGCTACTACTACTACTACTACTACTACTACTACTACTACTACTACTACTACTACTACGAGGACGAGGACGAGAACGAGAACGAGGACGAGGACGAGGACGAGAACGAGGACGACGACGACGACGACGACGACTACTACTACTACTACTACTACTACTCTTACTATTGCGACTACTACTACTACTACTACTACTACTACTACTACTACTACTACTACTACTACTACTGCTACT